GGCAGGACACGGCGCCCAGAGGAGCCATGAGGTTGTTTTGTGGGTGCCTTCTGCACCCTGCCCAGCGCCTGGCTGAGCGCCCTGCGAGGTGTAGGGCCGGCCCTAAGACCACCAGACTGGAGTGAAAACCCCCTACAAGTCCCATCACGGACACTGATTGCCACCAGCTCTTTATATTTTCACTGTGGTTAAAATATAAATGAAATCAAGCCCCGAGCTTTTTGTTATGTTGCAAACCGATAACTGGTTTGGGGGTTTTTTGTCCCCCTTGAGGTGATGAATACACAGCTTTGGATGGTTGGTCTTGTTGTTGTGGGTTTTGGGGTACAGTGACAAAATAGAAGGGAATTGTTCTGCTTAAACATAAGGTAGTTTGTGAGTGTATTTTTTTAAATCTTAGAGTCATTTGAAACAAAAATCCTGAGAAACCAATGTTAATGTAGTCTTGTCTACGGACTGCGTACACGGTCGTGCCGTAGAGCGAACACATTTCTGGTGCCAGCCACAATAAAACACAGAGCTTCAACCGTGCCTGTTATGTTTTGGGAAATAAAACCTGGGGCGTTAACCGTGAGGAGGCCATGAAAGTAAAGTGGCTTTTCAGGGCTCCAAGTCGATGCCCTTTGCCTGGAGGGCCTCGGGAATGCGGCGGTTTTGGGCAGGATGAGTGCGGGGGGACGGGGCATGTCGCCTGCGATGCTCCCTGGCAGCGAGCAGCGGCTGAGGGATGTCTCGATGGACCATCACCACCTGAAAACTGCTCTTCTACAAAATCAGCCCATGATTATTATAAAGACATGCTTTCCCCTCCAAATATTCCTAGCTTTGATTTGCTTGTCTTTTGTTGTAAGTAAAATAGACCTGTGGTTGATCAATGCCATCAGAAACTACTTAATTTTAGTGTTTAAAGAAAGGAAACCTGGGGCTGCTTTTAAAATCCTCCTTCTGGGAGTTTTTACCTAGGAAAGGAAACTTACTTGTTCAGCTGAGCAGTGCTGCAGGAGGAAAAAGAGAAATAACGTCTGCGCGCGCAGGAGTCACTTGAGCCTGTTGCAGATTCGATTATTTACAGAGTTGCTGTGAAATCCTGCATGAACCTCAGGGGCGAGCCGTGCCCTCCGTGGTCAATGAAATAAGAGCCCCGAGAGCTGGCCTGAGGCTGCTGGTTACCCCCCGGCACGCTGCAGACCCCGGGGAGATGCTGGGTACCACTGCCAAGGTAAAGGATGCTCAGAGGTAAGGCTGTGGCAGCTGCTCGTGGGAACTGAATGTTTTCAAGCCGGTTTCAGAACGATTATCAAATGGCATTTTTCTTGTTGCGAGATGGTTTGGGCATTGATCACGTTACGTGTTTTGGCCCAGAAGGGGCTCAAGGTGACCCTGGCCCCAGCCCCAGAGCTGGGCGGGTTGCTGGAAATGGTTGAAGTTGTCGTGCTGCAATTCCTTGTCTCGACCTCAGCCCACGCAGGTCCAGAGCTGCTTGTGTCCCAGTTTGCGCGTTGACGCTGCGTCGTCGGGGCCAGCGTGAGCATCGCTAGGGGAGCAGCAGCGGGGACTGAATCTGCCTGGCCCTGAAGGCGGGGGGTGGAGCTCCGGACCATCCCGTGCCTGTGCCCAGGACGATCAGCCACCCTCCTGGGGTCACGGCTGCCGTTCAGGAGATGCAGCAGAGGTGCTCTCAGCAGTAAGGATGCGGTTCAAGGCGTAGGACCCCTGTCGCAGCCGCCGCATCCCTGCGGCGCGTGGACAGCCCTGCAGAGCTGCCGCGTCTCTCCGCTGTCACGACCTACCGCAGAAGAGGTTTCCTGGGTTTGCTTCCCCGTTTTTCTTGCCTGGGAGATGCTGCATCACCCAGAGCTGGGGAGGCGGGAAGGGCCCCATCAAGCTCCCTTGGTTTGATGCTACTGGTTTTTGCTGGAAGGGTACGAGGCCAACACGCTGGTGTCTTTACAGCTGTGTTGTAAATGCACCGAATTCTCCCTCTCAAATGTGTTTTGTCAGGCTGAAGCCCCCGTCCCACGGGTGGCCCCAGCACTGATGCCTGCCCCGGCTGCTGTGCGTACAGAGAGAAAAACCGAACACACATCGCATTCCTTTTGTGCCAGCCTCTGCTGTGCCTCCCAGCAGCCTGCTCTTACCTGGAGAGTCACAGCCTTATGGTCTGTATCTTCCCTTCTTTTTGTTTCAGTTTTTCTTTTTTTTTTTTTTTTTTTTTCCCTTTTAACATCAAAGCTGCTTCTGAATGACCCAAAGGCAGTAAAACGGGTGTGCAAATTACCCCAGCTGCAGAGACAGCCAGCTGTCCTTAGGGAATCTTTAAATTCCTTTCACTGATGCGACAGCATGGTTAATCGTTCAAAAGCAAAGCCCAACCGTAAACTTTAACCCATTGCTTTTATCACTTCGCATTAGGCTCAGCAACAACACCAGTCCCAGCAGATGCAACATACAGTGGGCAAGCAGCACGGCAGTACTGCATAGCAGAAACATTACACGTCGTTATTACGCTTCGTTACGAAGCGGCACGCGTAGCACTAAAGCCAGAGCTGTTGTTGGCAAATAATGTAAACGATGCCCATCAGGAAACGCTAAGATTCATGCTCTGAGGAGCAGTCACCCAGGGCAAGGGGCTGGGTGCTGTTTGGGATTCCTGGCGTTTAGGTATTTTGCACACTCGGGCGTACAGAAGCTGCGAGAGCAGTTTGGAGCAGCTTCTTGCCGGGAGCCCTGGAGAAAAGCCACAAAACCCTACGGCACTGGCTGGAGTGCTGACAGGGGTGCCGTGTGTGCTGCTGGCCTGAAAGCAGTGAAATTGGTATTTCTACAGCGCTCTACCTGGGAATGGCAGCGCTGCCCTCAGTCTGGGGTCACCTCGACCCACAGCAGCACTCAGCCACGCACGCGGAGACCCGTGTTTTGCCATCTGCATGTTCCACCTCTACATCACACCACGTTCCCTGAATTATTGCAGGATGAATCAGTCTGGCTGAGCTGCTCCCGTTGCCCTGGCAAGGAAAGCCCCGTGTGTACGAGGGGACAAGGCGGGATCTGAGCTGACCGAATGCTCTCATCACCTTCACACATATTTATTTATTTAATTAATGAATTATTCTGAGGCTTCCTGTGGTTTTGCGTATCACTTTTTACCCAGCAGCGGTAGGAACCAGGTGACAAGCTGAGCAGCTCGGCTGGCATCAGCCTGGTGGGTGGCTGGGTGGCTGCTGCAGCCTAGACTGGGGCAGCTCCCTTTTTTTGGGCTGGGCTGCTCGAAGTGGGGGGCGGATGGTCCCATGCAGCCCCGTGAAGCACCCATGGTCACCCTCAGACCTGCTCAAAGATCATCTGAACACGGACAAGAGAAAGTACAAACAAGCCCCGGGCTGGCAAACCTGGGGTCCCAGCGGCGAGGATGAGGACGGCGGGGCTGGCTCCCCAGGGAAGATGCTGCCTCCGCTTTGATCCCCGTGCCCTTGGTTAAAGCACTTCGCTGCTGCCTGGCGAGGCTCGCCGGCCGTGGGACGGGTTAGTGCTGCTCCTGAGCTGCGCTGTGCTTGTACCTGCACCCTACGGGCTGGTCCCCCAGCCGGCTGTCACCCACGGTTTGATGGGCTGGTCACCCATCCTGGTGGAGCGGGGCCCTGGTGCTTTCCCAGGTAGGAACGTTGGGCTTCAGTCTTCCGAGCGAACAGTCAAGGTGCGATGCTCTGATGGCCCTTTTGGGAAGTGACGGCAGCGGGAGGCAGATTGAGACACCCATCCTTCCCATCCCTGAGCCACGGGCTGGCCTCTGCTGATCGGTGCATCTGCATCCAGACCCCCGGTCAGAAAATCACGGGGGCTTGAATCTGTGTCCCTGCGAGCTAAATAAACTGCCCGGGGGCAAGGCTCCTGAGGAGCGTGTCACAGCCCTGCTGGCATGGCTGGGGGCTCTAAGGGTGAGGTGAGGCAGCCTCAGGCACCGGCTCGAAGCATCCAGCCCGGAGGGTCCAGGGAAAGGATGGGAGAGCCCCGGGATAACTTCGTGCCTTTTGCCAACAGACGTGGCGGAGGGAGGCGGGTGGCCGTGGGGCTTCCAGCCTTTGGCATCCACGGTTTCCATGGAAGTTGGGGGGTGCTCCTGGGGAGGTGACTGATGCTCACCCATGCCTCCCCACCCCTGCCCCGGCCGCTCTCTCTGCACCCCCTCCCTGGGAAGCCCTATTGAGGGAGGGTTCTGCTCTGTGAGCAGCAGCTGGGGGGGGGAACACGAGAGGCTACAAGGCACAGAAAGGCCACCCTGCTCTCTCCTTTCGGTACGGAGAGGGCCTTTGCCCCCTCCAACTGCCTCCCGGAGGCTGGGAAAAGTAGGGGGGGAAAGCACCATCCTCCACCCGCCAGGCCCCTGGGATGGGATGGGATGGGATGGGATGGGATGGGATGGGGAGGCAGAGGGGCACGTCAGTCCTGGCCAGGAGTTTCACAGTGCCCGAGGGTTTCAGTTTGGGATATTGGGTCAGGGCTCTCATTTGTTTTCTGATCCAAACTTGAGCTGCCTGTTATGTGTCTAATCCTGCCAGCCCCCCCAGCGTGGAGGCATTTAACCGCAATGCAAAGAAACGTCGCTTGTAAATGCCTGGGTATCCACGCACGGCGAGCAAACAAAACGCGATGGGCAAAGATCTCACCTGGGAGGGCAAATATTGGGGAAAACTTCAAAAAGCTCAGCCTCGGCACCCTCCCCCTTGCAGCTACGCCAGCCCGAGAGGGGAATGCAGGTGCTGCGACTGGAATCAATGCCTGCATTAATGCAATGAACTTTTCTCCTCCAGTTAAAGTTTTACTTTACTGGAGGAGGCCAGTGCAAAGATTAGTGGTCTTACGCTCA